TGAGTACCTACCAACCGATGCGCTTACGTCACGGTATATTGTAACTCGGCCGTATCTTAGAAATAAATCTTACAGCCGTGCGGTACGTAAACATGCGATAGGGATGCCTGCCTCCAGCATTTTTACATTTGCCCATTGATTTATGTGTTTTATAACTCAATGCATTTTCCTACTTTGTGTTTCAATTTAGTTTTATGATTGTACTTAAATATAATTTTTTATATAAACAAATATATAATAGGTACTTTGTGAATTGAATAGGAAGTGTTCAATAAAAATGCGTGTCGTTTTATGAGATTGCTAGATTTAATTAAAAAACCATGTTTATGTTTGAATAACAAATCGGTCCTATAAATTTGCGGCCGAAAAATATTTGCGCCTCGGCTGAGACGTACGAAATGCTTTATTATTAAAATTTTAAATATAAAAAATCCGCATTATAATATAAAGCTTAATTAAAAATTGTTTTGGGAAACATGGACAAGTTGGAGTAAAGGAATATCTTTTACTTGGTTATAGATACCTGCAGCTACTTTACAATTTATATGTTTGGTTTTAAATGAAGTTTGGATTTATTATTTTTTTATTTCTATTCTATTTTCTGAAAGGGCTCTAGGAAAGGAATTATCCACCGCGCTGCTCCACTGCGTGTTGGCGAACTTTGCATGTCTTCGAAATATTTTTTTTCTTATTTCTCAGACATGCAGGTTTCCTCACAATGTTTTCCTTCACCACTGAGCACGTGGTAAATCAACACTTAAAATTGCAATTACAATATTGTTGGTGCCGGCGGGGATCGCACCCGGTTTGCTCGCACACTATGAAAATTTTAGCAAGCGCTAACCATCTGAGCTACCACGGCTCCTCTCCTCTCGAGCTAGAGACTTTATTTTATTTATCGTCAGGCCTGTTGGTGTAGTGGTTAGTGACCCTGACTGCTATGCCGCAGGTCGTGGGTTCGATTCCCACCCAGGACAAATGTTTGTGTGATGAGCACGATCATTTGTTCTGTGTCTGGGTGTAATTTATCTATAATATTTGTGAATAATGTATTTAGAAATATATAAGTATGTTTATCAGTTGTCTAGTACCCATAACACAAGCTCTGCTTAGCTTGGGACTAGATGGCGTTGTGTGATAGTTGTGGAATATTATTATTATTATATTATTATTGTTGGGGTATCTGTATAGTTTTCTCATCTGGTTGGTTTTTATAAATATAAATTAAAATGAAAAGATAAATATACATAAATATCAATAACGAACAAGAGTGGTCATGTGTAGATGTACAGCGGTTAGGTATAAGGTCGGGCACACACACTTTTGTAAGTGAGAGCTACGGGTCGAGAAGGTGGCTTGATCACTGTGTGGCGACGAAATCCGCTTTATCGTCTATTTTGAATGTTTATGTTAAGTATGATGTCTACTGGTCTGACCATTATCCTTTAGTAATAGAATGTAATTTGGATATTGTCAAACCAAAGTTGAATTTTGTATATAAAGTAACTAACGAAATTCTATGGGGAGATAGAAAACCGGAGGAGATCAGAATATATACGAAATTATGTCATGAAAAGTTAAGAGCTATCGATTTTCCCGAAGAATTTCGTTCTTGTAGTAATTGCGTTTGTAAGTGCATTGATCACAGATTACGTATCGATAAATTATATAGTAAAATTGTAAATTCTTTATCTGTGGCTGCCACTGAATCCTACACTGTAAGATCACGCGTTGGCAAGCGGCCTGTGGTTGGGTGGAACAGATATGTACGCGATGCCCACAGGGAGGCCAGGTCGAAGTTTTTAATGTGGGTTTGGTGGGGAAAACCAAAAAATGGTAGTGTCTATGAGGACATGCATAGGAGTCGCAATTTATTTAAGTCGCGCTTGAAGTGGTGTCAGAACCACAGCGATCAAATAAAAATGGACATTTTGGCTACTCAGCACGCGAAAAATTATTTTCGTAACTTTTGGAAATCGACCAATAATTTAAATAGTAAACCTGGCCTACCAGTGAGCGTCAATGGTATTAATGATCATGGTCTTATAGCGGATATGTTTAGAGAGCATTTTACAGTGACATCACCGTTGGAGCCATCACAGGACATAGAAGATGAGGATACGCGTGGCCGGGAGATTGGAATTCGATTTACAGCGAAGGATGTCGATAAAACAATAGCTTCTATGTCCCGTGGGAAGTCTCCTGGCCATGACGGACTTAGTATTGAGCACCTTAAACATGCAGGTCCTCACTTACCTAGATTACTTTCTATGTTTTATAACTTATGTATATCGCATTCATACTTGCCCGCGGCTCTGATAAGAACTGTGGTGGTGCCTATTGTAAAGAACAAGACTGGAGACATATCTGATAAGTCCAACTATAGGCCCATCTCACTTGCCACGGTTGTTGCAAAGGTGCTTGACAGTTTGCTTAGCGCCCAGCTTGATAGACATATATGCCTACACGACAATCAGTTTGGCTTCAGGCCGGGTTTGTCAACAGAGTCGGCTATATTATGTTTGAAGCAAACTGTGAAGTACTATTCGGTTAGACGAACGCCTATTTATGCCTGTTTTCTGGACCTTAGCAAGGCGTTCGACCTGGCAAATTACGATATCCTATGGCAGAAATTGAAAGATACTGGACTGCCGGAAGAAGTTACTAGGATCTTCAAATTTTGGTATCGAAACCAGGTCAATGTCGTGCGATGGTCCGAAACCTATTCGCAGCCATATGGGTTGGAGTGCGGGGTACGACAGGGGGGCTTAACTTCTCCTAAGCTCTTCAACCTTTATGTGAATGCGCTGATAGAGTTGCTTAGCACCACACATGTCGGTTGTCATATTGACGGAGTATGCCTCAACAATATCAGTTACGCAGATGACATGGTGTTGCTGAGTGCTTCTGTTTGTGGCTTGGAAAAACTGTTGAGCATATGTGAGAGCTACGCCCGCAGTCACGGATTGATTTATAATGTCAAGAAAAGCGAATGCATGGTCTTTCAAGCTAAAGGTAAAACCTTGCCCTCGTATATACCACCCATTAAGTTATACGGTACCCCGTTAAGAAGGGTGTCTCAGTTTAAGTACTTGGGTCATATAGTACCCTTTGACCTGAAAGATGATGCTGACATAGAGAGAGAGAGCGCAGGGCATTGTCTGTTAGAGCGAACATGATCGCTCGCAGGTTCACTCGTTGTTCAGTTCCTGTTAAAGTAACGCTATTTAGAGCTTACTGCACTTCCTTTTACACGAGCAGTCTGTGGGTGGATTACGCGCAGAAACAGTATAATGCCCTGCGTCTTCAATATAATAATGCATTCAGGGTGCTGTTGGGTCTGCCTCGTTATTGTAGTGCGTCGGGTATGTTCGCGGATACGCGTGTGGATTGTTTCTACACCACCATGCGTAAAGATGCACATCCCCGGTGCGCAGGGTGCGGGCCAGTTCCAATAGTATCCTGAGGGCATTTTCTGACAGGTTTGATTGTCAGTACCTGAACCATTGTCATATGGTGCACGTGCTGACTAATCGGGCCTGTCTTAGATATAGTTTTGAAAATTAGGTAAATAGTTTTAAGTTTTACTAACATTAGTTTTAAGATTTGTATTGTTACTAACATTCTATGATCCTTGTGGTCGAAATAAACGACTTTTATTTATTTTATTTTATTTTAATAAAATAAAATAAATACAAAAAATATACAAATAAATAAAGATCCAACCATATTAAATAAAAATAGTCTTAATAATCTTTCTCTCTATGTTTTGATCTCCTAAAACGAGTTTGAGTTGGTAAAATCAAGGCAAACTTAGGGTAGGGTTGTCAATTATTATTTTGATAATAAAACTAGTGAAATTCCGCGGTTTTATATGCGCAAGCGTGAACGTAGTTAGAACATAATATAACCTTTATGTTTTACGTAAATATCCTAAAAAACTTATTATTTTAATATTTTACTAAGTACCTATAAAATTAACAAGTTTATTGCATTTTTATTTGAGTAATTTTTTACGCAGTTTCTTTATCTACGTCTATTTTTAGGAACTTTATTTAGTCTGAATCATACATAACACTATATTACTGATTTACTTACTTATACGTAGTTTTCTTTTTTGCAGTTACAAATATCTTGTGAGGTTGAAAAAGGCAGTAATGAAAAAAATAATAAGAATAATAATAATTGACGTCAGCCACTTCTTTTCATAAAAATTTCAGATCATGGTCCATTAGGTTGCAGCTTCACCGAACCACAACTTATAATAATAATAATAACAGTAATAATATAAAAAGGCGTAGGGAATTGACGACCCCATCGCCCGCTGACGTAACAGTTAAGTGACAAAACTGCTACGTCAACGCAGTCAGTCAGCGCCTTGCGAGAGGTGTGAGCGCCGTGCCGCGGCAGAATTTAGGGTGCAGAGGCCCGTTTGTGCTTATGGCTACACACGAAAAAGTGCCGGGCCTGGGCGTCTCCCGTTAATGGACGCCCAAATAATGGATGATGGATAAAAAGATAGTGCGCAAAGGGCCGCTGCCTGGGGGTCGCCGGGGCGCGTCTGGAGCTGGCGCTGGACGCGGCAGCATGCGGGCCGCCAGCCGAGCGCGAGGAGCTGCACGGTCATCTACCAGCCCTCCGCATCCATCATCCCCACCAGAAGGCTTGGTGTCGGCTGGGTCTTCTCGGACTCAGCAAGCGGCACCCGCCGCTGGTGGAGCACGTCGCATGCGTTGGTCACAAGAAATGAATGCAAACGCACTGCGGGCGTACTTTAGGGCAAAAGGGGAAGAAACTGGATGTTTGGCGTATCGGGCTAGGATGCATCGTCTTTTTGCTGAGCTGGAGCCATCTTTAATCGTCACAAAGAAAAACCTGGCAGACCGAGTTCGGTATATCTTGCGCTCAAATATATTTGATGTCGCCGACTCGAACGGCTACGACGTGAGGCTGTTCCCTCGTCGGATGGGAATGCTACGGCTGAGGATGCGGCGCCACAAATGGTAGAGCAACCCGCAAACGTGGATGCCGCCGTGAATATCCCAGTTGTGGTTGATTCAAACGATGATGGAACAGTCGCCCAGGAACTGGAATTAGAGCATATGAGGAGTATATTGGAAGAGGCGATTGTGGAAACGCGCAGTACGCCTCTCGAAAATCGACCGCGACTTCCCCGCATAGCCCTAAGCAAGCGGAATCGGGCTGTCGTGAGGGCTCTGAACCCAATGCTGGTTACCTATTTGGAAGCCAGCCGGGACCTTTGCGAGACGGACTCAATTCTTTTTGGCGCCGCGCTGGCAGTCTGCCGTATCATAGGCGCCAGGGTTTCCACGGCTGGACGCACTACTGGCCATAGTAGCGCTATCCCAGCATGGAGAAGAAGAATTGAGGAACGTATCGCAAAGGCGAGAGCTCTCATCGGCAGACTGATATGCTTCAGATCAGGCAACAACAGGCCAAGAATTGTGCGCACCGTCGGATGGCGTTTGCTGGGACAAATGTCAGTTTGTTTGACCAGGGTACCACAGACCCGAGCAAATACCGCCCCATCACGTGTCTACCGACCATATACAAGACACTAACATCCATTTTGAGCGCGAGAATCACTTGTCACCTGGACTCAAATCAGGTGATGTCGCGCGCTCAAAATGGATGTCGGGGCGGTGGTCGTGGAACCAAGGAACCACTCCTCATTGACGCGGTCATTGGCAAAGTGGTGAAACGCAACCGTCGGAACTTCTCCGCCGCCTGGATAGACTACAGAAAGGCATTCGACTCGGTGCCCCATACATGGCTAAAGAGAGTCCTCGAGCTGTACAAGATAGACTGTACAGTTAGAGACTTCCTCGAGCGGTGTATGGGGCAGTGGAGTACGATCCTTTGTCATCTAGGCGAGCGGATGATGGCTGCGGAGAACCACATAAGGATAAGAAGGGGTATCTTCCAGGGCGATTGTCTGAGTCCAATCTGGTTCTGCCTCTCTCTGAACCCTCTCATTACCTTACTGGAGGGCTCCGGGAGGGGATTTCAGCTACGGAAAGGAGAGACAAAAGTGACCCACCTTTTCTATATGGATGACCTCAAGTTATTCGCCTCCAGTCGCTCCCATCTTATGGAATTGCTAAACATCACTTGTGAATTTAGCAATTCCATTGGAATGGAGCTGGGGACGGATAAGTGTGCGGTCCTCCATGTTGAAAGGGGAAGGGTTGCTAACTCTGAGGGCGTAGACTTATCTATGCCCGTCAACTTAAGGACCCTTTCCGAGGCTGAAACATACCGATACCTGGGTATGTCACAAAACATCGGTATCGATGAGACTGGTATGAAACAGTCAGTTTGCGACGTGTTTTATGCACGCTTGACCAAAGTGCTTAACAGCCTTTTGTCCGGTGTGAATAAGGCACACGCATATAACGGCTGGGTCATGCCTGTCCTCATGTATACCTTTGGCATACTCAGGTGGACTCAGACTGAACTTAACGCCCTGGATAGAAAAGTCCGCACTACAATGACGTCCCATAGGATGCATCATCCAAGATCGTCGGTAATGAGGCTGTACTTGCCGCGGAAGCATGGTGGTCGTGGCTTCTTGAGCGCGCTCACCATGCATAATCGCGAAGTGTGCAGCCTCCGTGATTACTTCCTGGCGAGATCGGATGATCCATTCTATAAGGACGTCATTTCTTGTGATAAAGGACTTACCCCTCTATCCTTAGCCAACGAGCAATGGCAAGACCCGGCAGTGCAGAGCATTTCCGACCGGGAGACCGTATGGAAGGAGAAGAAGCTCCACGGGAGGTTCTACAAGGCTCTACATGAGCCTTTCGTAGACACAGTAGCCTCCCTCCACTGGCTACGCTTTGGTGATCTCTTCGGGGGAAACCGAGGGTTTTGTCTGTGCAGTACAGGATCAGGTTATTAAGACCAACAACTATCGGAGATACATCCTAAAGGATGGCACCGTCGACATCTGTCGAGCTTGTCGCCATCCCGGTGAGTCACTTAGGCATGTTATCTCCGGTTGTTCGGCGCTTTCTAACTCTGAGTACTTGCACAGGCACAACCTAGTAGCCAGAATTCTACACCAGGAGCTCGCTCTGAAATACGGTCTCGTGGATCGGAAATTGCCGTATTACAAGTACTTGCCGGAAGCCGTGCTCGAAAATGATCGCGCCAGGCTCTATTGGGACCGGGCCATCATCACAGACAGGACTATTCTTGCGAATAAGCCTGATATTGTGCTGATGGACCGGGCACAGTCAAGGATATTTTTGGTCGACATTACCATTCCGTATGACGAGAACCTCGTGAAAGCCGAAACAGACAAGCAAACAAAATATCTGGACCTGGCTTACGAGGTGACCGACATGCGGGGTGGTCTGCCGACCGAAATTATTCCTGTAGTCGTCTCTGCAAACGGGCTAATCCCAGTCAGCCTCTCGGGTCATCTGAGGCGGCTGGGACTACGTGGCGGACCGCTCCAGGTTCAAATGCAGAAGGCGGTGCTCCTCGATACCGCCCGCATCGTCCGCCGGTTTCTTTCCCTTTCCCCCTAACCCTCGGCCGTTTGGTCTCCCTTGCCGAGGGCCTCCATCTGGTTGGGCTTTTATTTATTTATGTACTTTTATATTTATTTTATGTTATTGATATTTATGTATATTTATTTTTTCATTTTCATTTATAATTATATATTTATAGAACCCAACCAGATGAGAAAACTATATAGATACCCCATAATAATATTATTTTGTATTTATTTTATTTTATTGATATTTATGTATATTTATCTTTTCATTTTAATTTATAATTTTTATATATTTAAATATTTATATAACCGAACCAGATGAGAAAATTATACGGCTCCAACGATTTTAGCGACGAACGCTTGGATTTATTTTTAGAAAATGTCCTTTTGTCCATGTTTTCAGGCAATAAAAAACTGCTACAATATAAGAAGGTAAATTTCGACAAATCACTAACGGTCGTTTTAGCTCATGTGGTATGTCGGTCGGGCGTGATATCGGAGTTCCGTGGTTCGCGTCTTGGCTTTGGTCCCGCTTTTTTTTTCCTTTTTTTTTCAAGTTCCCTTCTTTTGTGAGAAAATCTATTATTTCAAACCCTTTTTTTTAGTAATTTTTAAAAATACGAAAATTTTAATTTTAAAAATTAAAAAAAATATCTATTTAGTTACTAATGCTATATTTATTATTTTAATAATTACCTACCCAGTAGGTAAATATTAAAATAATAAATGTAGCATTATAAACAGTAAATCTCCCTCAAACTCAATTTACTAATATTGTTCCTAAATAAGGAATAGCAGATAAAAGATTAGTAGGTAATAACTATTGCTGCTCAAAATTATATTTGACCTCAAGGTAAAACATATCCTAAAATTCAGTAGCTAAATAAAATAATAATACCTACTATTCAAGTATATTTTCAATATGTAAGTAAATGAAAATAACAAAAATGAAGCACCATTAGAATGTAAAGTTCGAATCCATAATTAATATTTCGACAAATATTATAATTTACACTATAAAAAGCTAATTCAATATTAGCAGTATAGTATATAGTTAAAAATAATCAAAATAGTCATTTTTATTAATTAGATAATATATTAGAATACATAATTCTAATATAATGCAACTAATATACCGAATAAAGAAAATTAAAATACATTTATCATTGTACGCCGTGTCTATTTCCATAGAATAGTTCATTGACATTGAAAAAATAATACTACGTTCGTAGCAGTAGGTGGCATCTTTTGGCGATTTCTTACGCGATATATTGTAGCGAGCTTCGACAGACCAAACGCTCAAGGTCGTTCGCTGGGGGTAGCGCCTTAACTCGCCGAAAAATAGCTCGGCCGGCTATCCTGTTCAACTTAATCGTTAACTTGCTACTTAACTCCGTTCTTGCCGTTCAAATGAGGTTCAAACTTAACTCGCCAGGTTCGCAAGTTAACTCGCTACTATACTTGTCGAAGTGTAAATCGGTCTTCAGATGAAGTAAAAAAGGATCCTTTTTTACTTCATCTGAGAGCGTACTATTAACAATAATACAGCTTTAACCGCAGCGGATGATTAAATGTACAAGCTTCCTTATTTTTTAGATGTAATTATTCATCTAAATTCATCTAAATTTTATAGGTGTAATATTTTCCAAGAATAATTTTACTATGAAATATATAAATTAAAATCAATTTTCATTTTAATTTATTTTTGCTATTAATCAAATTATGCTTTATCCTTTAGAGGGCAGAGTTTTAACTTGTTGCATATCCGAAATGGGTAAGATGTTGAGCCTAAAACTATATGTTTTTGTACTAAGATCATATTGTACACAGTTATGCAATAAATGTATCTTTATCTTTAGACAACTTTAAGTAATACTCTTTGACAGCTGATAATAATGTTACGAGCTTGAGGTTCGTGACAATAAAAATTGCCGATAAAATTACCTAAATTAACACTTTAATTTACTTTACACAATTAAAGTTAAAACACTAATAATTTAAACACACTAATTCACTTAATTCCACTCCGAAGCTTCGCTTCTTTCGCCCAAATCAACACTGCCTCGATCGCACCTTGCAGCGCCTATATATTTAATTTAGCAAAGAAATATCCAGAATGTTCAAGTAAACACGCGGAAGGTACCGAGCGTTCGAGTTTCGACTAGGCGCTGTCGGTTGAGTAATTTGTGATGTCATTTTCTCAATGCTCCCCTCGCTCTCGTTCCTGACACTAGATGGCGCTAGTGTATCGTTGACTGGAGCGCGTAACACTGCCCCCTCCTAAGACATGCTCGTCCCGAGCATTATCGGCCCCATAATAACGCGCCAGGCGATTCACATGGACGATCTTAGGAGTCCCTCTTGCGCCTTTCTGTAACGGCTCCGCAATGTCAAGGGCTGTCCTATCCCGTGGTGCACCAACATTGTACAATTTCGGTGCTCCTCTACTACGTGTCCGAGGTCCCCGCACGGCCGCACAACTTGTACATGTACGACACCAATCCTCGACATCGTCACGATAATGGACCCAGTAAAACTGTTCTCGGACCTTCAGTAGAGTTCGTTTAACTCCCAGATGGACTCTTGAACGACCATTATGGCACAACTGTAGAACATTCGGCACTTTAGCTTTAGGGACAACCATTTGCAAACGACAGCTGTCTCTTCGACCATTGTCCCATTTACGGCACAGGACTCCATCCTGAATCAGCAAGCTGTCCCATTGGGCCCAATAGCTTTTCGTGGTTGAACTCATCGCTGAGACGTCCCTCCACTTAGGCTTGGTAGCACGGGCCTTCATCCATCCCAGAATCGGCTTGATGTCCGGATCTTCCTGCTGTGCATGTCGTAGGTTGTCCTTCCATTCGTTGCTGAGGTGGTCCGTCCTGAGCATCCTCACGGATACCACCTCCTTACTCTCTTGCCTACTACAATGGTTGCAATCTTCAGGACAAGGTCTTCTTGACAATGCATCTGCGTTGCCGTGAGATTTCCCGCTGCAGTGTCTGATAGTAAAGTCGTATTCCTGCTTCTGCTGGGCGGTGCTGTTAGCCG